GATATCAATGTCGTAATGTGTAGTTGATTCAACGTCGATTCAACCATAAAATTCAACGTTGCAGCAACGTCGTAGTAGCAACATTGATTCAACGTTGAATTGTAACGTCAGTACGACGTTGCATGAAAGACGTTGCTTCAATTTTCATTCTAAACCTCCTTTCACCCCGATCTCAATGTCGTAATGCGTAGTTAAATATTGATTCAACATTGATTCAACCACCGAATGCCTGCTGGGAAGGCTTTAATTGCCGCAAAAGGTGGACCTACAGCCTACACCATACTAAAATATGTTTCGTGGAATTCTCGGGTGTTTCCCTTATTTTGTTTTATCTATTATGATCAAGTGGACCATGTTCGAATAAGGCAGACGTTCGAATGATTCGATCTTCGTATGAATAGGTAGAGATCAGGTAACCGAAGTCTTTTTTTATACTGCTGATGCCTTGCAAAAGTCGGCAACAAGACTGTCGTTGTGTCATGAAAGACCTTGCGTGTCACCTCGGCTACCTGTCAGATCTGTCCTAGCTCAGTCAATTGCGCAGCTTCTCTATTCTCTATCCATATAAATTAATTTGGAACAAATCTAAAATATTCTCCTCGCCAATTTAGAACAAATCTAAAATATTCTCCTCGGCGAGTATGGAAGAGTGTAAAAATACTGTAGCAAAATGTATAAGATTATTTTCTCTGTGAAATAGAATAGTGCTATAATAATAATGAAATGAAATAGTGCTCTGTGAAATAGAATAGTGCTAACGAACACATCTACTGGTTATTATTTTGTTCGCAAAACTGCCCGATGCGAGATCAAATAAATCTTTCACATCCTCCTTGTTGAATGTTTACTTATGAAAGTTTTATTGCCAAATGACCAATTAGCTTTCTAACAATCGGATGAGTAGAAACTTCTAAGTGACAAAAATTCCTGATTTGTGATCAAAATAGATGCCCTCGATCACCGATGCAGCGCGAAATTTTTTGCTGATTATGGCGGGCCCAATCATTCAATGCGTTTTCAGTGTTAAATCGAGTCTTGTGGTATACGATCATGTTCAAAAATAACATATATATTATTCTATGTTATATATTAAGCTTTATATTGTAAATCTGTTCGCTACTATCAAGAGTTCATTTTCTTCCAAATCTAGATCTTGCTTTACCGGTAATTAATCCGGAATATCTTCTAATGAATGATTATTGTATAGTTTTGAGAGAATTCGAGCAAAAATCTAAATATAATAAATATAAAGCGTGGGCAGCGCATCGCACCACGGCTGCGCCAACGAATATCAAATTCTTGTGTTGCCGGTGAGCTATTCTTGGATCAGGCGAGCGTTGACGTTTTTATAGTCGAAGGTTTCATTTATTTATTCTTACTCTCTCTGTGCTGTACATGAATCCATATTGATAATAACTGGCGTTTCGTTTGCTATCAATCATTACCGGCAATAACAAGTGGCTGTCACTAATCTACAATAGATTATATAATCCTTAGTGCTAAGGTTCAACGTAAATTAAAGAACAAGTAGCTGTGAAATCCACAAATAAGATGTCTTTTAACATGAACGAGCGATAGCAGCAAGCAACTCTCATTTCACAGGCTCTTTATTTCAAGCTCTGAAAATACAATCGACGGTCAAATTTTCAGTACCTACCGTTTTGCTTTCATTTTCGCTCCTAACTGAGCTGTTGTATTTTAGAATTCAGGAACACGCTGTCGAAAGTTTCAAAAAAAAAAGACTGTCCATGAAATTTCTCTAGATGTTTGAGAGTTCTCTTTGTGAGTATTGAATTTATTCAACAAGGTTATTGACGTTGGTTCCTCAATTTCTTAATTAAATATCTTAATTTGTTGATACCTTAATTTGTTAATTAAATAGCTAAATTTGTTGATAGCTTAATTTTGTTTGTGCAGGTGCGGCTCCACTGCGAGTGTCTGGTGCTGAGCGACGAGACGCTGCACGACGTCTGCCAGACGCTCAACACCGAGCTCAACCGCGGCCTTGCCAAGGAAACCAACGCAGAGGCGACCATCAAGTGCTTCCCCACCTTCGTGCAGGAGCTCCCCAATGGCAAAGGTAGTACCACTTCCCTACCTTCGTACAGAAGCTCCCCAATGGTAAAGGTAGTACCACTTCCCCACTTTCGTACAGGAGCTCCCCAATGGTAAAGGTAGTACCACTTCCCCACTTTCGTACAGGAGCTCCCCAATGGCAAAGGTAGTACCACTTCCCACCTTCGTGCAGGAGCTCCCCAATGGCAAAGGTAGTACCACTTCCCTACCTTCGTACAGGAGCTCCCCAATGGCAAAGGTAGTACCACTTCCCCACCTTCGTGCAGGAGCTCCTCAATGGCAAAGGTAGTACCACTTCCCCACCTACAGGAGCTCCCCAATGGTAAAGGTAGTACCACTTCCCCACTTTCGTACACTCAATGGCAAAGGTAGTACCACTTCCCTACCTTCGTACAGGAGCTCCCCAATGGCAAAGGTAGTACCACTTCCCCACCTTCGTGCAGGAGCTCCCCAATGGTAAAGGTAGTACCTCTTCCCTACCTTCGTGCAGGAGCTCCCCAATGGCAAAGGTAGTACCAATTCCCTACCTTCGTACAAGAGCTCCCTTATGGCAAAGGTTGTGCTGCATAGCCCAATCTTCAAAACATTACAATTTTTTGGCACAGTGGTTTTGATACTACTGTACTTGGCCGACTAGCTTCTGAGATAGTAGTTATGAACGTTGCTGAAACGCTTGATAGTGGCACAGTTTATCCATTCTATAAATTAAAAGTAGAGAAAATATCTAAAAACTTTATTCTGTTGGTCCATTTGGATGAAATTTTGTAAAGCATCTCTGACAGGCTCCTGACGCATGTCAATGCTTCTTAAAATTCATGTACGGGTTCCATCTCTAAAATAATTGTTTGTTGCTAAGCACACCACGGAGCTGACACTATGTGACTCCGGGTTTCAGTTGGGGGGTTAAGTTGGATTCCATCCCCCTTAAGCTGGAACTGTAGAATTCTTTGCTCTTCTGTTCCGTCTCTCGTGCTGGCGTCCTCTGAAGAGTGTTGAAATTCTACTTAGATTTATATGGCTCCTCTTATTGCCCACAAATTTAACCGATGTGTCATTCTGCTACTACTTGGCGAATGCAATTTTTTGCCCTTAGCTTGTTCTGTAATTTCAATACGTTTTTGTGTCCACTATTACTTCTACTTCCATCACTTGTTTAAAATCAATTCGTACTGGGCAAGACCACAATATAGGTGATCTTGAGAGATCATTGGAAGATAGTACTGCTCATACGCTATACATAGTAGGTTTGACGGACAGTGTCACGGTTATATGTTATGTTAGTAAGCTGGGAAGCGATTTTGAACTGACGCTTATTATTTAATTTGAATTATTTTAAATTACATCTTCCAAAAATTAACGGGAAAATTGAATTATTAATGCAGCCGAACATTTGAAACAAGCAAAATATCGATCACAATATTTGCTGTGCTAAGTTCGCGTGTATGAAGCAGTTTGTTGTGAGTGTTGTAAGATGAGCCGCGCATGTGTGTGTTTATAACGTTGATTGGTACTTGATGCCGATGAATGGCTGCTTGTGTGGTAATTGCTCTCCCCGCTCTGCTCTCTGTATAAACATCGTCTGTGTGTAATGCCAAGCTAAACTCGTGCCTTGAACTATTCCGTTTAAAAGGTTCATATAATTTATAATATAAATTAAATCTTAGTTTTATAGGCCAGCTAGGATCAATATAATGTATAAATTATGATTGTTTTACATTGCGTAAAAACGTGCGTTTTATATGTATATTCCATCTGCTAATAAGAACGCACTGTCTTTAAAATGAACTATATTTTGTTGTGTAGTATCAATAATATGAGTTTTGTGTGGGGCAGAGAGCGGGCGGTTCCTGGCGCTAGACTTGGGCGGGACGAACTTCCGCGTGCTGCTCATCGAGCTCGGCGAGGGCAAGTTCGCCATGGACAGCAAGATCTACGCGGTGCCCCACGACATCATGGTCGGACACGGCACCGAGGTCAGCATCGTCACATTATTGTCTTCCTCTCTGTATAGCGCGGCTAACTTGTAAACTGTTTTAAAACTTCTGGCTTGTTAGACTACACAGTACACATTTTATTGTTTTCATTCATCTGGACTGAGTATGAAGATATCTTTCATGGGCAAAGGATTTGGATTTCTGCTCTAAAGTTTTTAAGTGAGTGGAATTACTTTGGGTGGTGAGTAGTAAGTAGTGAGTACAAAGAGCGCGAGGACTCACAAAGATTTCTTGTGAGTACAAAGAGCGCGCGAGGATGAGTTTGGTTTGTGATGAGCAAGTTATATTCTTATTGCTTGTGTCTCAGAGATTGTACCTACTGATGTATTTAGATGTGTTACTATTGCTGATATATTTAGATGTGTCACTACTGCTGATAGGTATATTTGTGATGTTTCTTAACCGGTATATCGTACTGTGCAGTTATTCGACCACATCGCGGCATGCATGGCATCGTTCATCAACGAGCGGCAGCTGAACGACGAGTTGTTGCCGCTGGGCTTCACCTTCAGCTTCCCGTGTGCGCAGGAAGGTCTCACCAAAGCCAGGCTCGCCAGGTGGACCAAAGGCTTCAAGTGCGCAGGCGTTGAAGGCAACGACGTCGTCGCTATGCTCAAGGACGCCATCGCCAGGAGACAGGTAAGACCTGCACCACTTCAATCTTCAGAGAGAATAATAACAAGTTCTAGTGTCTAACTGATTATAATCAACTGGAGAACAAAAATTGCTTCTGATTATGGTCAAGTGGACACTTGGTTGAACCGCGTGCCAAAATGCGGGGACAAGTCTGGCTTTCGACAACTTTGGCTTTCTTGCATAGCATCGACAAAGATTTCAACGAAACATTTCGGTGTGCCAACTTTCCACTCCCGGTTATCGATACAGCTTCATATCGGCAATTTACGAGGCTTTGAAATCTAAACTTGAAAGCTTTAGAACTATTACAGAGCCTGGTTAGCCCTTGATAGAAGGTAGTCATTGAACCTCAGTAGGTGCCTTTCGAAATATGTGATCAGGATGAGCGGCGTTTGTGTTTAGGAAAGCATTGAATTGCCTTGGATAATGCTAATAAAACATCCTTGTATTCACTGAATTATTCTTCTCTTGTCAATTCATTTGTGCCGTTTGCTACTAACTACATCGGTGTCAATCGGGGCAACGTGCGTAAAGTTTCCAAGCGTTTTTTTTTATAAAAATATTTGCTTTTGAATTGTTAGCGAGTTTATGATATGCATCTCTGATTCTATGATATGCATCGCACATTGTCGCGTCGGTGATGGGTGGTGTTTGGTTTTGGCTCCATGGCAGACGTTTAGTTCGAGGCTGGAGCTGACGAAGAGCTGTCTACTGAAAATCACGAAATATCTTGAATTTTGTCACAATTCTTCAGAATTCTGCGTTTCTGTGTTGAAGTAGTATCACAATAGTTCTCCTTATAGTATAGTAGTAACACTGCTTTAGGTCTATTATCACGAGTAGAAGCAGACCATGTAGTTATATCCGTATAGAGTGGCTGCATGCGAGACTGTCGTTATTATCTTTAATTGCATTCAACAACGCAAATACAAACACTAACTCCTAGTCGAATGTTGTAGCAAAATTAGAAACGAACTTAGAAAATTAGAAACAAAAACTTAGCTATGGAGAAGATATGTTTATGCTCGTACACACCTGGCTATTTTTTCGCGAACTACCAAGCCACGAATGCACGGAAGAAGTATGACGAATATGTTCGCGAAACTTCTTCTTAATGATCTGTGTTGTTGGCACGGCGTAAGAAAGTATATAAATGTACGTGGCTTGTTGGAACTGATGCGTGCGATGTGACTCAATAAAGGTGCGTGTGCCGGTGATGGCTTTGTTGAACGACACCACAGGCTGTTTGGTGGCCTGTGCTCACCGCCACCATAACTGCCGGGCTTCTCTTATTGTGGGTGAGTGGCCACCCGCCCCGTGGTGCATGCGCTGCAGCCTTCGTCAGCGACCAAACCATTTATCCGCGTCCATTAAATTCATACATGGCGTCATTATTACAAAGCGTTAAATTCATGGCGTCATTATTACAAAGCATTAATACGTGGCAGTTACCGGAGCTGCTACTGAAATGGTTGCTGCTGCTGCTCCGGGCAGTGCACGGCCACTAATGCCAGTAACGACTGCCTCCTCGCAGCAGTGGTGTGGCCGTTTATTGAACTGATATGAAGACTCTAATTCTAATCTCTGCTCGTTGCGTTGTAAATTTGAACTTTAATGATGTTATTTTTGCATGATAGCCTGCTCACCATATTTTCGGTGATGCGTGTTCCTAATGTTCTATTTTTTACTCGTACTTTATAATGGCATTTGTTTGTGTTCGTTTGTGAATCACTAACGATCTTTACATGATTTTACTTCTTTCAAACTTCAGGATAAATAAGCTTATTTTTGGCAAATTTATAAGTATCACAAGTTTAATTATTTGTTCTACATTAAGTGATGCAGACGTTCTTGCGCTGGTGATAAGGTAATTAAATGTTACGCGGTGACGGCGTGCGTTCGCTCATGTCTAATGCATTTCTAGTTTCAGGTGCACCGACCGACCTTTTCTCTACATTTTTTATTACAATGTCTATCTAGTAAATGGCTCTATAAATTAGTGGTACTGTGACGTGTTCGTGGGTTTTTGACGCTAATATTTCAATATTAGCGTCAATATTCAATAGGGACGCTAATATTTCAATATTTTTACTATTCCTGGTGAAGTATTCTACATGTCACATCATCAAATGTTTGAAGAGAGGATGAAAACTTCACTTGAAATAGAAATTAAAATGAACATTTATATATTTTTTGCTCAGAGACTCACTCTTTTTGCGCGATTCCTTGTAATGTTCACCATCGCGTTTAGTCGTGACCGCGCGGCTTTTTCTGGGCAACTATCCCCATTTGCGTCACTTTTAAGACTTATCTAGCTTCTTGGCCGCTTTAATTTAAATCAATACAATAAAATGAGATCTCTCGAAAAACTTTCAAACAATAAAAGATGCGTCGAGAACTTTGAAGTGGACAGTGCGAATTTAAATTCACCCAGAAATCAAATTTCATGGTCGTAGATTTAACAACTGAATAAAACTAGATTTCAATGTTTTCCTTGCATTACTCAATTGCTATCGCGCTAGGCAGTCCTGACGGTACATACAACTTGTTTTCTTCCACATCTATTTTCGTTTCAAATGCATTGAACTTTTCTATTATCTTTTTAATTGTCTTTTCTCTATTCTTGATAAAATCTATCTAAAAGAAGTTTAATTATCAAATAATATTTTTAAAGTGGTTTATTTGGTTCATCGCTACTTATGAGCATGAAAACCATTCTAATTCAAAAAATAAATGAAATGAATGCTTACCAATAACCAAACAATTTATCTAGCGAAAACAAGCTGTCAGTAATCGGCCAAACAATTTATCTAACGAAAACAAGCTGTCAGTAATCGGCCAAATAATTTATCTAACGAAAACAAGCTGTCAGTAATCGGCCAAATAATTTATCTAACGAAAACAAGCTGTCAGTAATCGGCCAAATAGTTTATCTAACGAAAACAAGCTGTAATTAGCCAAGGCTGCTGCAGTAATCGCTTAGCGCGCCACTAACTTGCACGTCTCGCCAGGACGTACGCATCAAGATCTGTGCCGTGCTCAACGACACCACAGGAACCCTCATGTCGTGCGCCTGGAAGAACCACAACTGCATGATTGGGCTCATCGTCGGTACGTATGACCACCAGGCCATGTATTCTCTACCTGTCTTGATACCTTTCTCTGCAATTGTCAAATTATATTATTATTATATTACCTATATTATTAAAATAAAAATTAAAAAACTAATTTTTCCTCTTAGTGTCTTGCTAGTTATCATAGCCAAATTAGAAGATTTTTTCAACTTCATGTAACACGTCTAGAGGAAAATATTATGCACTACCAAACATAATCTTACTAGAAATCAAATGGAAACTCCGGTGATATGCACTTGACATTTTCTAGCTGACCAAGTAAGGTCATTTAGTTCTAGCTATCTAAATGGTAAGTACTATTAATGAGCTCGCGTATATTACCATGAGAAAACTTGCTTTAAAATCAATTGTTAACATTGACAATCACTTACCTCATTTTTCAGCAGCATCAACTATTACATCTCCTAACTAATTACGTGCATTTGGACACGTTCTTCCTTAAACTGTATTTGTGCTATCGAACTGATATAAATTCTAAATTTTGTATACGTTTTCTGACAATATTAAACTTGAACCCAACTTATGTTCCGTTTGAATGTACTGCTGAACATTCGCTTGGATTATACTAATACTTGCTGTTGCATATGCTTACTTTGAATTGGATGCCGCGAAACTCGACTAACATTTCGTTGAATGCACTAATTTATACATGCTGAGGGCCGTGAGACTAGACTAACGTTTGCATATGTGATCCATATAACACTTATTACCTATTTAGCTGCGACGATTTAGTTCGATAAGGTGCGCGTTTGAAGGATTTTTGCCATTTATTACTGATCAAATGTATCAAATTTTTCCCAGCGATGAACTTTTTAGTGTTAACAATGACTACTCAATGTTTAGATTTTAAATTAACGTGAACTGGTTTTTCACGTTCAAGATTTAGCTATTAATGGTTGATATGTGAAATATGTTGATAATATGAATTGCGCATTTCAACTGTCTAATATTAAGTGCCAGTGTTTGACTCAAATTAATAGCGTTAGTCATTATTGCATGTGAGGTTGTTGACTGCATGTTTTATTACTATCGAGTTTGACCGCAGGCACGGGCACCAACGCCTGTTACATGGAGAAACTGGAGAAGGTGGAGCTCTGGGACGGAGCCACGGACGGACCTCAGCAGGTGAGGCTTTCATCATCGAAGCGAGTGCATTCATTATCCCCTTAATTACCGGACTATCATTCATTCTGGAAATTATTGATAGCCTACAACAATGTTGAGTTTATTCTGATTTCGGTAAATTTTGCAACGCTGGCTGATGTTTCACTACCGCATTGCAATTCCATTGTAGTTTTTCTTATGTAACAATCTGAGAAACTTCCACAATATTTTTGCTTGAGGTGTTACATATATTTTTCAAGGTTTTTCCCTGCATTACGGTGCATAAATTAGCATAATGTTTAAGCGCTTCTTACTGCGGGTCAAAATTGTTTCGTTGATTAACCGAGCAAGCACCGGAATCAGACCAAGTAAATTCAGAATTAGTCTGGTTCAGTTTTTCACGAAATTTCATTGCACAATACTAGATTCATCTTGTCACAATCATTATCATTTCCAGACTAATTTTTGGCTTTGGACATGTTTACAATTTTTATTGACTCACAACATCAGAAAAATCTACCCAAATCACACTTGGCTTGGCGTCTCTTGACTCGACTCAAGTCTTTTAATCAAAATCTACTGCTAACAACGGTTAAAATGATCTCTTTAGTTAACTCACAACCTCCACTTCTTCCGTCACGATTTCCTATTATAAAAAGCCGTAGGGATCGTATTTTGAATACGTTCCCTCGTGCACGTGTCACTGAATTATTGTGTATTATATTTTACGTTTATTTTCTTGCTGCAAGGATTTTGATTCTGGCTTTGAGGGGGTAAGTAAAAATGTCATCGTTGCTAATATGTGCATAAATGCATGTGAAACTATAATACCTATAACATTTCTTGCTTGTAGAATTAAACCCTGAGAACAGCTAATTATGTATTAAAACGTGCTTTTGTTTCTAAAACTCGATTTCATATTGTTAATTTCAATCTATCGTTTTTATCTTGCTGCGCCTAGCGTCTTAGTTCGGCGTTGCTTAGTAAAGATACTTACTATGTCCTATTACTTAACTCCGATAAACTCCTTACTAAAACTCCTATACTTTCTTACTAAACTCCTTACTAAAACTCCGATTTTAATCTTCTATCTAAATTAATATAAATTGACGAGTAACCGTTCAACCCACTTTCAGCATGAAACTCCTAGTCCTTTTCTATTTTTAAATTTGTAAAAACGAATTTTTTACATCAGGATAAAATGTTCAGTAAAATTCTAAAGATCACAATTAAAATATGAAATCAAATTTTCTGACCACCATTTGACAATTCCGCAATTAAAATTGAAATTTCAGGTTGAGTAAATACCCCGCAGTTAAAGTGTAAAAGATGTCCGCGTGAATAGCTTTTATAAATTTTCCTTGTCAGGCACCAAACTAAGTTCCACAAATATGTATATTGTGTATATAACACTGCATTCTTCCATTTATGGCTTTATCTGTTCTATGCTTATTGAAAGAAAAAGGTGGTGCAGCTTCTTATCGTTGAACTAGTTTTAGCTGGTCTTGGTTACTCCTTACTATTAGCTACGATACTCGTCTTCTGACTCAACTGTGCAGTCCTAGTCCTGCTCAATACTTTGGGCACGCGTGCAATTTGTTGACCGCTGCTCATACTTGATAACAAGTTTTCAGCTATTTTTGATATCACGAAACTTATCTCCTGAAATGCCCCTCATTTACTTCCCTTTTCCACGAATGAAGAAAAAATCCAACTTGCCAATGTCAGACACAATGTTTAAACAAATTCGTTGCCTGGTAGTATAGGTGTGTAGCAGAATCTAATTTCTCTGTGACCGTCCGTAATGTCCTCACCGTGGCGCAGGTGATCATCAACACGGAGTGGGGCGCGTTTGGCGACAACGGCTGCCTCGACGACATCCGCGTGTACTGCGACCACAACATCGACAAGGAGTCCATCAACCCCGGGCGGCAGCTGTGAGTGACAGTGATGTGTTGTGGTCATTAGTGATGGTAATAATAGTGTTGGCTTTGAATAGGTCAAATCTGCCATGTCGCCAATTTTAGACATGGCAAAATTCTTAAAACTTGCTGGGGTTTTGAATTTATAACTCACTGCTCCAACTTTGATATTCTCAACTACCCGGCTACTGTCGATTTTTACCAGAACTGTCAAGCTGAGATCGAACCCGCAACTCACTGATTCAATTTTGTATACTCTGAACTATAACCACTGGGTCACCCTGCCACCATTACCTGACTTAATAGAGTCTCAACATGATGATATTCATGGATCTCATTGAACGTTTTCACCGTTGACGTAGGTATTTACTGACCAATTTGTTATCCGTGAACTGGCATTGAGAAATTTTTCATAAGTTTAAAAGCCATATCTTCTCCGATGAAGAAGTATTTATTAGCGTTTTCTTAAATTCTCTTTCTAGTGTCACGACTGGCGTTTCTTGACTCCTATAATTAAAGTATCACTATTGAATTATATCGCTAAAATATAATGTTGAGGTGATATTTTTTAAGTTCTCTTTAATGTCAATGTTTTTAATATGGAAAAAATCCATTATAAACTTCATGACTTGATTTTAATCCAGAATATTTTGCATCGTCTCAAATATTTACTGCCAGAATATTTGTAGCAGCAACAATTAAGCGAATCACATCTTGTGTTTCTGCTCTCGATTGCAATGTTTATTGTTTACTCACAAGTATTTTTTAAATTTTTTCTTATATTAACATTAAACTTTTTTGGCCGTGCGCAGCTTTGAGAAGATGATCAGCGGCATGTACATGGGCGAAATAGCGCGGCAAGTGCTCGTCAAACTCGTCGATGAAGGATTGATTTTTGAAAACCAAAACTGCGATGCGCTTAAGGAGAAGGGGCAATTCTTCACCAAGTACATTTCAGAAATTGAAAGGTAAGACTAGCAAGTTAGACTAGCTTAAGACTAGTTAAAAATAAGCACCAATGCTACTAATTCTACCTTATTCCTACTCCTGAAGCCGGGTTCACACCATACTGCTGGGTACGGGCCAGGCATATGCCAGTCACGGCTTAGTCCAATATTATTTATTGCATTTCCATTGAACATTCACACGAGCCGTGCAAGGCACCTGCCATTTCAATGGTGTGGATGCTTCTAAGAGAATGTATTAAAGAATATTGGACTGGACCGTGACTGGCTTATTATGTCTGGCACGTGCCCGGCAGTATGGTGTGAATCCATCCATACTGATGAGGCTCGGCCACAAATCACAGTCTATATTGTCTACTGTGCTCTAATTCATCTATGTTATTTTTTTGTGCTTGACTGCAAATTGGGTTCCGACTACTTGCAGTGACCAAAATTTTTAACAAGTAACATCAGAATCAACAATTTTAAAAGTCGAAACAAACCTTTAGTTCTTTTTAGAATTGAGCGAGATGTGTGCGTGAATCGAGGTATTACTAGTGGAGGTATTTGTGATTTATTTCGAATACTTCCGGTGTTAGCGAGTTTTGGGGGCTGCATCGGAAACTATCAAATTTTTATTCATGCATAATATTTTTATGGCCTGTGCAAATTTCGATTACTTTCTGTGTCAAAGCTGAAATTTCGAAAACCTGATTTCAATGGCCGACTTAAACTATCAAAATTTTTGGATGATCGTTAATGCATTTAGTCTATAAGTCATTTATTGAATCAACAAATTTGTATGGACTCGTTCAGGAATTTTCTTCCACTAATACGGCAATTCGATTAAATACCGAACTAAAACTATAGCGCTGAATGAAAAAGGAAATAAAAAATTTTCCTTTTTCATCTATGGAGCCTCTGTTTTCGTCTTCTGGCTTGTCCCGAATATAGCAAAACAATTTTGTGAGTTTTCGGTGAACACGTCGGTTCATCCGGTTGCATTTCGTAACTGTAAGAAGCCGCCTAACATAGTCGCCAAATTGACCTAGGAATTACTTAACCAAAAACTCCTTTGTTTCGACAGTGACAAGCCAGGAGACTTCAGTAACTGCCTGTCAGTGCTGGAAGACCTCGGCATCCTAGACGCGACCCCTGAAGACTGCGCAAGCGTGCGCTATGTATGCGAGGTGGTGAGTCGCAGAGCAGCTAACCTGGCAGGCGCGGGCGTTGCAGTGCTGCTTAATAGGATCGCTCAGAAGAAAGTTACTGTGGCTGTCGACGGCTCCGTCTACAGATTCCATCCTTTCTTCCACGACATGATGGTCGAGATCATCAAGAGACTCGTCAAGCCTGGGATCGAGGTGCGCTCTCATTCCTCATGCATACATTTGCGAACTCGTTTCTTGTGATCAATGTATTTTTTTCAGATTGTATCTGGAAAATGTTTTCGATTGTTTTGTTTCATATCTTCCATCTGATATTTTTCCCCCCTGATGTTAAATTTGTAATCTGAAAGATTACCTCGCAATCTTTCATTGTCAATTTTATATTTCATTTACTTCATTTTAGAGATTAATTCCTATTCAGATCATTTGACGGTTACACATTTACTTTAATATTCTCACCCTGATGTTTTTGAGCCCGCATACGTGGAAGTACTTGTTTTGTAAATGTAATTTTTTATCCAATTAAAAATTAGTTTAAACATTGAATCACAAAAATACCAAGAGTTTAGCAGCGATTACCTGCCTCAAAAGCACTTTCTTTTGCTCATAGCATTGTTTTTTCTTATTAATAAGGTAATGTTGTGTTATTGTTGCAGTTTGACTTGATGCTGTCCGAGGACGGCAGCGGCCGAGGAGCTGCTCTCGTGGCGGCTGTGGCCAACAGGAGCGCCATGGAGCGCCAGCAGCTACTGGAGCAGCAGGCTAGATAAGCCTCAGTTTTTAGAGACGTTGACAATGGAATTGTTTTACTAAACAAAAATAAGGACTTGATGACTCAGTTCTTTGCAAGGGCTCTCACGATTTTCAGAACATAGAACTCTTGTGAAGGCTAACGATTCTGTTGATTGCACAGGGTATTACCATATACCCTACGAAATGGGGCTTGTGAGACTAGGCAGATTAAATATAAAACAGGGAAGAATTATTTTGCAACTATACAGCAGCAATCGTGCGCCTCAGAGAGAATATTGTACGCTGCTAAAGTCATGCAATCGGGCGATATTCGCCCCCTTCAGTAGACTGGCCTTTACGTTGGCTTAGAACTTGAGCATGCATTGCAGAGCAGGCCATTCTTATTTGCTGGCCACTAAAATCGACTTTTTAACCAGAGTTTATTATGTATTTTTCATCGTCTAAAACCATTATCTTTTTTGGTTTTCAAAAACCCCAATGCCAAGAATCTCACTGCAATGAGATCAGTTACTGGGGGTGGAAAATTTTAGGAAAAGCTGATAAGTTTGGAACCATCAGCAAAACAAATAAACTTTTGCCCGTGTGAAGATTCTTTTTCTGTATAGCGGACGTGTTTTATGTTTGGTTACTTCTCTGCTTACCAAGTTCTTCCCGATGTTGGTCTGCACTGCGCGTTTCTTGGCGTGGCATTTCTCTTGATGTAGCTACTATGGAGTACAGGCGCTGTCTCGTTCACGACTGTGGGTGTAGCGGAAGATTGTATCATTGAACTTTGTTTGTAAGGTGAACGTTGCTAGTAGAACAGCGCCAAAAATTATTGCATATGGATCAAATCAAGTATTCCATGATCTTTATAATGTACTTAAATTGAAGTTACTTTAGTTTTTAGTGCGCTCAATCATTTCAGACGGCCATATTACTTACCATTATTAAAGACTATCCAAACGAAGTGCAATATGACGAACACTTTATTGATCCTGTTTAATGTGATTAGAAGTGTTCGAGTTTTATTACGATTGTTCGTACTGAATTATACCCATTTTCCACATGGCAATATTGTTGGCGACTATTATAAGTATATTTTCAATCTTGTAAATCATAATGCATCGCAGAGCCAGTATGTGATTTTTATTGAAATTGTTAAAAATTGGTTTCAGGTTATTCCGCCCAAATTCATGATTTTCATTCTTGACAATTATATTTTATTAGTATTTTTTTGCTGGTAGAACACAGAAGATGAAAATAATGTATTCTATAAATGCTGTGACCTTCATTGCTTGATTGGAACAATAATATATTTTGTAATAATCCTAAACTTTGATTGAATATTTTCTATGCAGGTCAATGTAAAGGTTGTTGCATCGTGTTAGTACGGAAACTCGTTAAGTTACCTCTTACCATTACTTATATGTTCTAATATTTCCTTCACTTGTTTCCAACGACGTATTAGCTTCTATAACTGGCTACAAAAAAGAGCCTCCTGGCTTTCTTGCAAAACTTGACTCCTTCCCGATGGTAAGAAATCAGCGCTGCATCTAACGATTATGCGGGTAGAGTACATAATATGGCTTTTAGGAAGTAGTGCTACATTACGTTCTCATAGTACACAAAGGAAGCATTAAGAAGTGTTGGGGCTCTCGGCATTAATTTCATGCAATGACATATTTTTCGCTTATACAACACAAGCAGTTTATCGAGTAGCGCGAGGTTGAGTGCCAGCATCTGTGGATGCCCGTTTATCATTTTTCTTTCATTCTTTTGCGTAATGCTTGGCAGCGGTTACTGATTCAGAGGAATGCCAATTTTGTCAAGATACAAACACAAAAGGAACTTTCAGCTTCCAAACATCTGAAGACATGCACAATTCATTTGAATAGAATCTGAGTCAATGATTCCTTTACCATATTTATAGCATATTATTAAAGAAGTTAATAACAAAAGCTAATTTATCGTTTTAATTTTTCTGATATTTGCTAGTTGATTTTAAACCTACTCCTTGCCTTTGGTGGTTGATAACGCCCTGTTAATTCCAAGTTCTTTATGTGTTGAATCAATAATAATTTAGGAAAATCATATGTCTCCTGAGCGGAACATGCTACCAATATGTAGATGTCGGTGTTGAAGTGATGTATAAGTACTTAACTTCCCGTTTTTCTCGTAGAAGACAACGTCGGACTTAACATATACGCTCTCGGAACGAAGAAAATGCTCCGGTGACGTGAAAGACTGTACAGATAATGTAAATAACGTCTATCAAACGTACGTTATAACATGTAGCGTTTCAATTAGTGTCGAAGTACGTAGGTATATTTTTAGAAATGAAGAGTTGATTTCCTAGGAATATTAAGTGGCCATTTGTAAATGAAGCTTTTGTGTTTGTGCCCAGCGATGAGGGCACGTTGTTCTTGTTCTCGTCATTGTATGAGGCTCATCTGCAAGCACAGAACACACGCTATAGAAATCCTAGCCGATTATATTATGTCAATGTGAAAACAGGTACTTGTTTGCTTTATCCTCTACTTCGAGTGTCAGATGTTGGCAGGCTTGATAGGTAATTTTTCACCGAGTGACAACAAAGCCCGACAAAATTTCATAAGATATTGAGTCTCTAATCTATCTATATTCGCGGACTTGAATCATAATTGTCATTAGTATAATAGTTTATTTCGGTCGTCAAGTCTCAGAACTATTGTAAGAACATGATTCAGTATAGATGCTGCAGTAATATTATCCGTAGGAGTAACAGAGCACGGAAATAGACGCTCATCCGTTAACATTCGAAATTTGAACAGAAGGGTAGATCTTTTGTCTGTTTAAAAGACATCGAAGATAAGAAAATGGGAATATCACAGAGAAGATGATACATCAGATTCGACAAGTTCGACAAATGTATCTTCAGTAAGTAAATTGCTTGTTTTTTCTCAGTACTTGTTCAGTTGCCAGCGGTGCTGACCATCGTGTCGTAGACGCGTTGTCGTATCGAAAGAATTCTTTTGAGGTACTTCTCCTCTCTTTCTTCGGGATCACCGAACAGCTGTAAAGATAATGTTCCAAGAAATTAAATATGCACGAGAAATTTACCCCTAGAAGGACTTCTAGGTCAATAAAATATCAGAATTCCACGGAAGTCAGTCAACAAGAGCGATAACCATAAACAAAACTAAACCAGCTTAACACGTTGACTACGTATTGGTACATATGCGTACCACGAAATGAATTTCTCCAGGAGGTAGTGGTGCGTAATTCAGGTTGCCTAAAATCGGCCAAATCCGAGAACAAAAAAGGCCAAATAAGGCCGATAATTCAATGTATACTAGTTTATTTGTAGGTTCCGCTATAAAAATCTTTTTATTTTCTTTTTGCAGTATTTAAAATTTAATTAGGAAGTACCCCTATCATAAATTTTAGCCGGCCAACGCAATTGAGAAAAATTAAATCACGGAATTTGTCCGGAAAAAATGACCGTCTGGCAGCCCTGCTTAAAAAAAAGTACAAAAAATTAAATAATTGTACAAGATGAAGCAATCGTAGTCAACGTGTTGATTGCTTGAATAAGTAACAAGAAATCTATATAACTTACGTAAGGACTGAAAAGATTGCTTTCATCGCCAGCCAAGACCGCAGCCGGTCTGTTCTTCAGTTCTGCGGACGTCCCGAAGTTAAATTCAGCTTTAGATTCTCCGTTTGTTTGCGTCTCTTCTTTAACCTTTGTACCTCTGGATGACTTGAAGGTAGCTTGGGTGAAAGACGAATCATTGAGCTCTGCGATGGCGCGTTCACGACTCAACTTGTCAGACTCACTTAATTCTGCTCGGCAAGGCATTCAAATCACAGACTAATTCATAAATGATGACGCACATCAGAATATTATTCATAAATTTTACTACAAACGAAAATCATAATCTTTTGAGCCGGATGGAATGAAAACGTAATCCTGTGACAGAAAAGTTCAAGTCAAGTTAATGAGCAAACGTAATGGAACGTCCAAAGTTACCTATAATCTATTAATCCCAGCCCAGAATAACGAAAATTTAACTATGATTTCATCTTTGTAACAATTAATCAGGTTAGCAGCATTTTCCGGATCTTTTGATATGCACGAGGCAGTTGTATTCGTGGTGTGCTCAACAGATGTCGGTGTTGCTTTTCATTATGTATTTGAATATGACTGACAAACAGAAATTGCAGCCGGTAGAAAACGCCATTTGCACAAAATACACGATAAAAATCGTCCACTTAAATAGTATCGCTTTATGGGAGCGAGCTTTGATAGCCTAGCGCTTTGGAGTTTGGACAGAAATGGTCCGAAAAGTGTTTCCCAACCTAACAATGCTTTCCAGTAGCGATCCTACGAATGCTAATACCTCTTCAATAGCTGTAATAATTGATTCAGGTTGTTTTCTCATACCTCGCTCCTTTTGCTTGAGTGCATTTCAAACGTGACACTTCAACATAATTAAAGTAATTTCGTAAATATTTTTATTCGGGTAACCACGAAGTTATGCACAATTAATTTAAGATCAGCGTAGCGTATTGCCGAGCGACAGAGCTCCCTACTACACCACTGCATTATTTGCACAAAAAAAGCATACCTACCGATATCACGCGAGGGCAGTGGGGACGGCATACTGGTATCCTTCTCTTCTTTCACGGATGGCAGTTTGCTAGATGATGGACCAGAATTTCCACGGCTTCTTTCAGCTGATCGACGTTTCGAAAATCTGTCAAGAGGATTTCAAGTTTCACAAGTATTGACTAAATTTAATATTGGTAATACAGTAGCAAAGGAATTGAATGCCGATAGTTTTCTAGAGATGAAGTTGATCGCGAAATTCAAACTTTGTGATGGACAACTGAACTCGTACGTAATTAAGCAAAAACTGAAGCATACTTTTCTCTAGAAGAGGCTCTGCTATCTCTCCTGTCTTCGGACTGTCTTTTCAAGGACTTCTTGTCAACTGAAGATCCACGACTGTAATTTCTGTCTCTGCTGGAGTCTGAGTCGGAGCTCTTGCGCCGGTGTCGCTTGTGACGGCTGCTCTCGGACTTGTGTCTGCTAGAGTGGCGGTCGCGAGACCTACTCCGTCGATAGCTGCATTTTGAACGAGAGTAGGAACGAGACCTAGAACGTCTTCGCTTGTGCTTGCTGGATTTTTTCCTACTTTTACTGTAACGGCTGCTGGACGACCGAGAGTAGCTATCACTGCTACTGCTTCTGCTGCTTGCGCTGCTGTCGCTTCTTTGGCTGCGGCTACTGCTTCGACTAGATGACCTGTAACAAGAAGGCAGACTTACACCAACATTTTTTCATTTGTTCAATGGTACTCATCGTATTATGGTCACGAAAATTGGAGGGAAACATAAACGTCTGTTTTTATTAAGGTTGTTCATAATCCATTACATAACCCATAAGCCTATCAGAGACATTAGTACTCACTTCCTACTGTTTCATTTTTGTTCAATGAGCTGTCTTACCTGCTACTGCGCTTTTTCCGGGACTTGAGTTTCCTTCCACGAAGTTCTTTTTCCTTGCTATAAGATCCCATCACTTATTATGCTATGTAGGTAGTACAACTTTTAAAATGCGTAGTATAGATTATGATGGTTACATGAACTTTTTTTACCACAAATGCCCGATTTTTGAGTCAAATCTGCTCTGATGATAGAATTATTATAAATTAATACCTATATATTTTTTAGGAATAGTAGGTCCAAACAAAACAACAATAGGTTATGTGTAGGCAAGCATTAGAGTTAGCATCTGTACCCTGCAATATCAAGCTCAAGTCCCAGCATACCACCATAATTAATAAAATCAATTTTTGAATATCCTTGTATGGTTGGACACAATTAGCCATAGATATGTTTCAAATTGAACAACATTTCCAAGAGGATAACATGCATATTAAAACACAATAAATCAGGTGGCAAATTGCATATGATTGGTAGCCACTGCTGTAGGATAGTATTCTTGAAAGTATAGAAGTATTCTTGGTAACAAACTTTGAAAGCTCTGGCAGTCCTGCAACAAAACCACATGGTATATACAGATAACGTTGCAGGACTGTAAACTTGATATGCTAAAAATTCACCACCCTGGGCAATATGTACGTGTTCCTATTCCTCTATTACTACTCCTACTTTCATCAGATTACTACTTCCATCCGATTGGCAGTTACAATTTTACACCCCATATTTGAGTATTGACAAATTGTCTGAATTCATAAATAACTTAGGTGATGCAACAGGCTCATTGTCTTATTCATCTTCTTCAGGTGATCTCGACCAACAATGCATTTGCCTTCAATAGTACCATCAAACGGGGTAATAAGGGATGGTTTTGAGCATTTTTTGTTAATAACTTTTTACAATGAAACATTTTATGAACAACTTTGAGCTCGTTTTTAAGCTCTTTGCAAGGGTTATTGTATGTAATCTTCAAAGAGATTCCATATGCTATTCATAAGGTGTCAGAAGCAAAATAAAAGCATCCCAAATTACCCCTGGGAATGAGGTAATCTGGGACACTTGAAATAAAACTTGATTTTAAAACATTTGAAGCATGCAGAGTGTACTGATCTATCATTAACAGTATTCTAAAGTCCTCCTCTTCCTTTGTAGATTATATAGATGTAGAATAGATGACATTTTCTGTGATTTTTACTTGTTTTTCCTCTATTGATATGACATTACTGTAACCACTCCACGAACATGCCATTGAGCATTTACAATGACCTTGTCCACTGCAAGCTTCATATCAGCAGCCGTATAGCATTTCTTCTGTATCTGTAAGCTAACAGGATGGCTTGTAATTTTGCACCATTTTAATTGGGTCAAGTGAATTCACTATACCAAAAAAAAAATATTGTAAAAAAATGAACCTGAAACAGAAAGGAATATTTTAATGACAACCATCATATTTTTTGGAGTGCCTTCATTTTATGTTGCCTGGTGCAGAATTCTGTCTATGATACCGTCAAATGGGGTAAAAAGGGATGGGGGGGGGCAAATCAAGACGTGTGTCCCACATTTCGTAGAAATGTTGTAGCAGCTAAACTAATCAAAATATTGCAAAACTATAAATAGTGGCGTAAACTTCAACATTATTACTACGGTATCTATTATGTATAAAGCTAGTCAAGAAATCAAACATTTACTAACTCTAAAAAATCGCTGAAAAAAAGGGTGAAAAGTGCGATTTTGAAAAGTACCTCTGCTAAGCTCTGGAGCAAAAAAAAAATATATATATTCGCCGTATTAAAAAATTTATGCATTTACAGTAGAACCTCAGTTAGCAAAGGTTCCAGTTAACAAAAAAATTGATTAACAACAAAGAATTTTGATTGCATTTACCTTGCTCAGCAAAAAAAAATTCACTATTGAAAAATTAGTGCATCATCGGTCATCACAAAATTGTACATAGAATGCTATATATAGAATTGTGCACCGGGCATCATAGAATGAAAAGAGATTGACCTAAACTATGATTTATTTCTCCAAAACATATGATGGTTGTCACTAAAACATTATTTTCTGCTTCAGGTATGTTTTTCATGACCTTTTTTGTTATAGTGAAATCACTTGACTCAATTAAAATTGTGCGAAATTACAAACCATCCTGTAAGCTTACAGATACAGAAGAAATGCTACATGAAGCTGATATGAAGCTTGCAGTGGACAAGGTCGTTATCAATGCTCAGTGGCATGTCCATGGATACAGTAATACCTATCACATTTAATAATTCAGTAATTAATGAATATGGTAATATAATATCAATAAAGGAAAAACAAGTAAAAATCACAGAAAATGTCATTTATTTTACATCTACATCATCTACAATGAAAGAGGAGGACTTCAAAGTACTGTTAGTAATGGATGAGTACACTCTGCATGCTTCAAACGTTTTGAAATTAACTTTTATTGCAAGTGTCCTGGATTACCCAGTTCCCATGGGTAAATCAGGACAGTTTTATTTTGCGTCTGGCACCTTACAAATAGCATATGGAATTTTTTTAAAGATGCCATTGGATAGCCCTTGCAAAGAGCTATAAAATGAGCCTAAACTTGTTTCTGAAATGTTTCATGGTAAGAAGTTATTAATGAAAAATGCTCAAAACCATTCTTTTTTACCCTGTTTGACGGTCTTCTATGCACAATTTTGTGATGACCAATTATGCATTGTTTTTTGGTCAAGTATAATATTTTTCAAGGAATGAAGTAAATGTAATGAAAATTTTTGTTGTCAATTGATATTTTTGTTAACTGGAGACTTTGCTTATCAAGGTTCTACTGTAAATGAGTTTTTAGGGGTGTCCCTTATTACCTGGGGGTTGTCTCTTATTACCCCATCTTGAAGAAATGGCTGCCATTTTTTATGGTGGATGAGCTAAGCAAATTCTATCAGTCACATTTTTAAGCAAACACCTGTGTGAAACTATTATGCAAGTAAATTTTTTAATACGGTTTTTTTTTCTACAGACCTTAGCTGAGGCACTTTTTCAAAATTTCACTTTTCACACTTTTGTCTAGTGATTTTTCAGAGGTAATAAATGTATGATTATTTAACATGCTTTATGCTACTTAGATTGTTAAAATGTTGAACTTTATGCCACTATTTATAATTTTACAATATTTTGATTAGTTTAGCTGCTACAACATTTCTACGAAATGCGAGACAACAGTCCTGATTTACCCTGCACATCCTTTATTACCCCCATTTGATGGTACCTCTTTAAAAAATTTTTGGCAGAAATTTTTTCAGTCTAATTCAGTTCTGACAGCAATTTCTCAAAATTACTGGCAGATTTCAAGTGTGGAAGAACAATTTTGGGAAAAACCAGACAAAGTACAGAATGTCCTGCTACTATCATGAATGAGAATATTCAAGTAAAGAATTGCATTCATTAATGGCAATGTACTGTCAAATGGGGTAAAAAAGGACAGGTGGGGTAAATTGGGATGCGCATCCCACATTTCATAGAAATGTTGTAGCAGCTCAGCTAATCAAAATATTGCAAAACTAAAAATAGTGGCATAAACTTCAACATTTTTACTATCTATTATGTATGAAGCTAGTCAAGAAATCAAACGTTTACTATCTCTAAAAAATCACTGAAGAAATTGTGAAAAGTGTATTTGGAAAAGTACTTCTACTAAGGTCTGGAGCAAAAAAAAATATATCCATATCAAAAAATTTTACTTACATAAAAGTTGCACACAGGTGTCCGCTTGAAAATGGAATTGATGGAAATTGCCTATCTCATTCATAAAAAAAAAAATGGCATGCAAAGGGGCAAAATGGGACATCCCTCCAGGGTAATTAGGGACAACCTGAGGGGTAATTAGGGACAACCCCTAAAACACATTTACAGCAGATCCTCTGTTAGCAAAGGCCACAGTTAAGATATATATGGGTTAATCACAAAGATTTTTGGTTAAATTTTAAATTTTAGCAAAAATCTAAATTTAAATTTAAATAAAATCTTCTTGGGGAGCAGAACAGCCTGGATGTTAGGCAGAACTCCTAACATCCAGGTCACTCAATGCAATAGTCACTCCCTAACCACTGTGCAGAGAGTGGATGAATATTGCAAGATCTTTGGCAACGCTTCAGTAGCAAAATTTATGCCTTCAGAAGATCTTGCCAACACATTTAGATTCTTCGGCCAACTATTTAAAAAAAAGTAAGGTTTCCGGTATGTTGGATTGATCAGTATGCAGTGAAGCTTGTCCGGAAATCAGTTGCGATGAGTCCCACAAAAAAATGTAAACATCAAGTTTACAATTACGTAGTTGCGGTCACATTAGAGTGGTCAGACTGCATTATCACATGTTCAGTTGACACTTGCTGTACAATTGGACTGTTTTTAGGGTAAAATTAGTTATTTGGATGATAGGTTTAGGGTTTTTTATTTATTCATGGTATAGATGCTACATGCTTGTTAGAGATTTCGGTCCTGTCTTACCCCATCTGACTATATATTGGCAATGCTTCATCCACCCTCTGCACCATGGCTCCCTAAAAAAGCTTGTTGAGCTCCTCATCATTACGTTACATCTAAAAGGAAAAGGAGGACTTTGGAGTCCTGCTGGTAATAGGTGAGTACACTCTGCATGCTTCAAACATTTGAAATGAAGTTTTATTTCAAGTGTCCCTTTTTACCCCATTTCCAGACAAAATCAGGAGCCTTTTATATTGCATCTAGCACCTTACAAAAAGCATATGGAATTTTTATGAAGATGCCATTCAATAGCCCTTGCAAAGAGCTATAAAATGAGCCTAAACTTGTATATGAAATGTTTCATAGTAAGAAGTTATTAACAAAAAACGCTCAAAACCGTCCCTTTTTTACCCCATTTGACGGTAGTGATAGCAAATTAGCAATAAGCATTGATAAAGCTTGTTAGCAGGTCTAAACAGCATGTGCAGTGTAGATCACAACAAAATGGCCCACTGGCAAAAGCCAAAATGTTTTTCAATATTCACCTTTTTTTGCTCATTTCTATGCTTAGCTGACTGTTAAATTTAGGCAACTCATTTTTGGAAACAAAGAAATCTCAAAGTAGTATACCAATTCCATCTTATCAAATAGCAAGTTTCTTCAAATGTTAGGTTCTCTGTGCTCAACTGAGTTTGAGAAAAAATCATATGGACTAGCTCTTTAATAGACCTTTTTTTTTCATTTACAGTTTACACCATTATTTATGAATGATCTGAAAAATTAAATACTTTTGTCTAACTGCAGTCAGTGCAGTGTC